GTGGTGATGGGCATTTAAGGAACATTTCAGCAAGAAAGTACAACGTCTTTTTTAATATTTTCCCCCTCCTCCCTCAGGCCTAGACCTGAAGTACAGTCTTTGCCCGAGAGGCAAAAGGCTTCGTGCCTCCCTGTGGGCTGAGCCAAGACTTCGGTGTTGAGGTGGGTCATGGTTTTGGATGGAAGCACTAAGGCACAACACTAAGGCCGGCTGCTGATTTGCTTACAGGGCACCCAGCCTGTCTCTGCCCGCCCTTTGATCGCCCTACTGTCTCCAAACAAAATGCATCTCTGAACATCACGACCTTTTCCTTTTTCCCCTGTTTCATTCTTTTAGCAAGAGGGATGCTTGGAGCGGCTTTCTGGTTCCACGTGATTCGTAGCAGTGGTTGAGGCATGCCAGGAAAAAGGCCAACACACACACGGGCAGACGAGTTTCTCCCGCGCTGCCCTGTAAGATGAGAACCGCCCTCGGTCCGACGGGCGGCGGGGCCCGGGCCAGCCCGCGCTGGGGTGCAGGGGGCCCGGCTGCAGCGCCGCGCTTGCCCGGCAGGGGGCGGCCGCGGCCCGGCGATGCGGTGGCCCTGGCCCTGGCCCTGGCCCTGGCCCTGGTCGTGGCCGTGGCCGTGGCCGTGGCCGTGGCTGTGGCCGTGGCCGTGGCCGTGGCTGTGGCGGCGGCGCGGCCCGGAGCGGCCCCGGGCCCGGTCGGAGCGGAGCGGGGCGGGCGCAGATGCCAGCCCGCCCGGGCGGAGCGAGCGGGCTGCCCGCGCTCCCAGCCCTTTCTCCTCCTCCGCCGCGCCATGCGGGGCGCTCCCGTCCCGCCGCCTCCGTATGCGTTTTAGCAAGCTGCGGTAATTCCTTCCCTTTTCCTTAGCTGTGCTGCCCGCCCTCACAGCTCCCCGGGCCGCACGAGAGAACCTCCGGTCCCGCACAGAGAACTCCTTGGAGCCTGGCTGTGGCGCGGTGCAGGATGCAAGTGTGTCTGGAGCTCTCAGGAGCTGTGGACATTAAAAGATTTCAAGGACGTTTTTCTCCATTCATCCCAGTTATGTCCTCTGCTAAAATAGGTTAACGGTGTCTAATTAACCACTGCACATTGTCATGCTGCATAAAGATAGCATCCTGGCTGTTCTCTGAGCCCTGCCACTTTATCTCCATTTAGATCTCCGTGGTAGCCCATTAAATGAGAAAGAAACAGTTTAACAGAGATGATGTCTACACTGGAACTGCCTTTCACCCTTCAGCACAGAAGTTGCAGGCAGCTCAGCTGTACATCAGGGTGCTGTGTCTCGGGTTTAACCCGTTCTCATTGATGTGGACGAAGGATTCCTCTTGGGCAGAACTGAGCAAAGACAACACTGAAGAGAGAGATCAGATCTATATCCTTTGCTGCAGGGCAGAGGTAGTAGACAAATAGGTATTCTGTACTGGGAGTGACATACCATGGGGTTACACAAGGACCGTCAGGGTCTTTCACCCAGTTTTCACAGCTGTTCAATACCCTGAAAAAGAGAGGGGATAAGCAGCTGTCCAAAGCTAGAGGGAATATTCTGGGATAATGATTATGTTTAGGAGTGCTGACGGCCTCTCAGGGAAAGGGAGTTTAAAGGGAACTGTCCAGCAGATGGAGTGAGTCCATGTTTTTTGCCCCTCCAGGTGCAATGGACTTGGGAACATAAGTGAAAAAAAACAGATGTATCCCTGTCTCACAACAATGAGGACTGGCTGGTGTATAATACAGCAGATTGAATGTATTTCTGAGCACTGCTCCTGGGATGGTATTGCTTTGTTTATCTTTACTTGAGTGACTGTATCTGTAGTTCACATTCAGTTGCTTATTTTGTAGGTCCTTGTTGCTGCCCTCCCTGGGCTGTGCCTGCTGCTGCAGCAGACAAAGCAGGGAGTGTTGCTGAGAACATGAGAAAAGAGTAGGAATGCTGTGTATGCTGGCTTGTCAGGTTCATTGCATGTCTGCTTTCACTCACCACTAGAAAGCTCACGAGATGAATGAAGAGGGTGCTGTTTACTTAGAACTGATACTCCTGAAGGAGGAAATGTTGGTCTCAATGTGTGGCAATTGGCGTTGGTAAGATGAGACTATTCTTAGGAAAAGGTACTCCTCAATCCTTAAAGCAATGTGATAACATCATGAAGAAATCCTGTGATGCTGCCCATGATACTTGGAGAGCAGAGACAAGCAGTTGATTGGTTCTGTAGGAATGCTGTCTCTGGATAGCCCTCAGCTAAGTTTATGGAATGGACAGAATTGAAGGTAGGACACCTTTTGAAGATTTTGAAGATATTAATGATTTCTCTTGCTGCCTTAGAGGTTTTTAACCTTAGCTTGTCTTTCCTCTCAGAGCCACTTTGTTACATAGATTTTGGTACTGCAGTTTTGCCAGAAAAGCAAAAGACTAGTTAAACCAAAAATGTTTTTGTGATTTTTTCCCCCAATTTGAAACAAGAACTCAAAAAGTAATTTGGCACCAAACAAAATGAAAGGAAGGCTTATAAAAAAAAAATTAGAGGAAATAGCAGGTTGATGATATTGTCTTTGCTCGATCATTAGGGCCACAGAGAGTGTAAAACATACAATTCCTTCCTGTGCTACAGAAGCTTCATACTATATTTTTGGGATAGTTTTCTACATGTGAGCTCATAAGCTGACTTGAAATGCTAGTTTCATCAAATAATGCCGTACCAAATCACATATTAACAAACATATCCAGTACAGGTGACTGGAAGCAGATGTCTCTCCTAAACAGAAGAGCAGTCACTTCTAGCTCCTGCTCCAGTGCTGTTAGTACTGTTAGTATATAAATGCTCTGTATAAGCTGCTGTAGCATCAGCATGAGAGACTTGCCTCACCCAGTACCACCACTGGCACCTGTGGCACAGGGTTCTCCTGGGGGCACTCACCATGGGGCTGTAACTTGCCCTGGGAAGAGGAAGGAATGGTCTTCTTTGATGAGGGAGTTCTAACACCTGGGCTCTGGTATTAAAGGGGCCAGGGGGCTATTCCCCCCATCCCTAATGATGAATTTGTTCCCCAGATTACTGTTTTTTCGAATATATAGTGCAGCTGTTTCATAATGAGGTATCTGCTTATTGTCCTGAATAAGTCCTTTCCTAACAACACAGAAAAGTTGAGAAAGCCTAAGTCTCACAACATAAGCAAAGCAGTTTCTTTGCCTCTAAGACTAACATGACTGCCTTCCCTGTGGGCCACCTGGATATCAGTCATGACAGGGAGCTTAGGAAGAAGAAACAGAAATTGCTTACAGGGATAGTAGTAGTGACCTTTTCTCCTGGGAAGTATGAGCATGTGGAGTGTTTCATTAGGAGCAAAGATGTAAAGAATGTGAGTACTGAGGAAGAGAGTGTTACTTGGGGTTGGACAATCATCAAGAGTAATGGGATCATGCCAAGAAGATGTTAAATTGAACCCCCAGGAAATCTGTGCATGGCTGTGCAATGCCATCATTTGGGATGTTTCAGCTTGGAAAGGGCAAGGCTATGTGGGAACTGGTTCTGTGAAGGCATAAAGGAGGAATAAAATAGGAGAAATCTTGCATCATCTTTCTACCTCTGTCTTCTCAGAGACTAAACGCCACTGGGTGCTGGTGGAGGGCTCTCTGAAGCCATCTATTTCTTTCTCCACAGCATCAGGATGTTCACAAAAAGTGCTTTGTACTACCACTGGGGAGAAGGATGGAGCTGGACAGTTCATCCTCACTGGAAGAGCTCTTTCCCCAGTTATGTTCCATTTTTCCCTTTGAACAGAGGGTGCAGGCATAGCTGAAAGCACAGGTGCAGATGTCACCACACAGCTGCAGTTCTGATTATAGCAGTCAATGTTCCTGGGCTCACATCACTGATTCAGTGTCATCTTTAGCTTCTCACAGACTCCAAGCTCCAGAGAGAGCAGTAGAGACAAAGGGCTTTCTTCTCCTGTACCTCTTCTCTGTATAGCTAGACATTCTCTCTGCCCTACTCCTTAGAGTAGATTATTCACAGGAGAGCTAGATGAAGACTGTGACTTGCTAGAACAGAAAGCAGATGAGGAGAGGCCTGTGCCATGTCACGACGTGCTTTGAAAAGAGCAATGCAAGGCAGTGAAGCAACTTTTCTTACATCTTGGTGCATCCTGGGACAGTGCATGTGATAGGGGAGAGCCCCATGTATTCTTTGTCATGACACCCTGACTTCAGAGGACGGGAGAATATTTATTCCCAACACATAGATGTGAAACTTCACTCTGCAGAATGGCCAAAGCAATCAGCGAGTGATGGAGTATCTGCTAAAAAGAAACCTGGCATTTAATTAACTTTTTAAAGTGCTGGTTCAGCAATCTCCATGTTTTACATTTTGAATATTGAACAAGCGTCCCTAATCGGGACTGAATTACTTCTGGGCTTGCTGGGGTGGAGAGCAAGGGAGCTGCCATTTGCCAGTGCCTCCCTGCCATGTTATTATTATGAACTCCTGTTAACTCAGCCTGATCAACCCTGATTTTTTTGTCATGACTGCATGACCTGAGCTTGGCCAGCTCAGGTGGGACTCCTAACCTGAAAAGCAATGAGAAAGTCTTTATGCACAACCATGGGGAGGAAGAAACTGTTGATCTCTCAGGAGTAGGTAGACAAAGTAACACCTTCTTCACTCCTTAATGTGCCAACCTCTCTACTCAGGTATGGCCAACTTTACCTGCAGCTGATGGCAAAGGGGATAAAAAAGTATCTGAGAAACTAAAGAACCAGGGGATATTGCCATATCTAGGCATGGCTATCTTTTGGGACCCAAGTGGTTTTGTTTCAGTCTGTCACGCTCAGGGACTTTTTGATACGCTGGCTTAATAGTCACTCAGAACTCTTTAAGGTGTGATGTGTTACATCAGACTTCATGCAGGAACTGTTTTGCACAATAACAATCATATGGGGAAAGGTGAAGTTTTTCATTTTCTCTGTCCTTTTCTAAACATAAGCCATCCTTGTGTTGCAGGTCAGGAAGAAAGCATGCAGAAGAAGTAGAAGAGTAAGTTCCCATTGTTGCTGAGACTTCTTCCACAACTTTTACATCTGATCTGATCATCTGACCACTACACCAAGATCTGAAAGTTGGGAAGGATGCAGAGCCTGTCAGGAATTCATATCATGTGTCCTGGGATGGGGCAGGGCTGGTCATTCTGTAGTTCCCTGGATATAGAGTAGATGATGGCTCTGTCACTTCCATAAAATAGAAAGAAGGAAAATGAGAAAGCCACTGCTTTCCTCCCAGACTCACCCCAGGCCCTACTGTCTTCAGCCTAGGGGTTTGTCTTAGGTACATCTTGCTTAAGCTGAGATTTCTGCTGAGCCCAGCATTGAAGGGTATGGATGTTCAGTCTTCCATATGGGTTAAGCATACTTGGAAACTCTCTCCTTGACAGCATACTTGGAAACTCTTCTCCTTTGAAGGTTGTGGGGAGGAAGGGGGCACAAGAAGATGCTTTTCTGGGCTTGTAATTGAAATTCTTTCTTGTGCTTTGCTGCAGCCATCGTCTCAGACAGCAGAGTCTGGAGGCATCAGATGATGGAGGAGGTAAGGTACTTGACCGCAAGAAGTGCCTTCATGCGTGTCTAGGGGCTCTCCAGTAAAGTGAGCCCAGGCATCTTGTAAGAAATTGCAAGGAAATTAACCACTCTGGGGGTAAGCAAATGTAGGAGCTGCTTAGATTTCCCCAGATGAATGAAGGAGAAAGGGTAAAGGAGATGGAGAGGAAGAATGAGGAAATGAACTTGTAGTCTAACTCTGGCTCTTCATGAACACAGAATTATAGAGGACCCTTGGAAAGCAGGAAAGTGGCAAGGATGCACTTTTCTCTGTAATTACCTCCATGGAGAATAGTGGACTGGGCAAAATGAGAGCTAAAAGCACAATAAAAGATAAAGAATGGTGAAAGAAGTCTCTGCTCTCCTCTGGTTTAGGTGGTAGTAGGCTCTGCTATTGTTGCAATAGCCTTGTTGCCTGGGGTTTCTGTTGTGATGGAATTCTTAATTTAAAAAATCTGCTTGCCCTAATCCAAGATCATAGATCACAAACTAAACATAAACACTGGTGGGTAATCCCATCTCATCCCTTTACAGGCTGCTATGAAATCTACTGGACTCCTGACTTAGCACTAGTTTTCTTTATAGTGTATATTACTTGCTCTTCTAGGACTGGATGAGTCAAGAGAAATCTCAGGAAAAATCCACTATGAATTTCAAGACAAGCACTAGACAGCTGTGGGAAGCACAGAAATTCATTAAAGCCTCTAGGAGGTACCTCAGTTTTCAAGGACTAAGAATTTCCTACAGTGTATAAAAAGTTACATCTGTAAAATATCACCAAGCGTCAGAAGAATTATCTAGAGTCACAAAGGATCAGACATCAGTATGGTTAATGAGATTAAATGAAGACTTATTTGGGTCTTCCAGACAGATTAAGCATTGCAACATATGACTGCCAGAAGTGGCACCTTTATAGCATTGGCATCCTCAGAACAGACTAAATTTTCCCCCTGGGAAGTTCCTTGGGCTTCTTAAATTTCAGCGTATGTCACTGAGGCTGGTAGTCTGTTCTGAACAGCTCTGTTTGCATACATGCTGTCCTTTTTGTTGAACCTTGGTCATGTACTTGCAGTATGACTATCTTTGCTAGCCAGGCATAAAAATGCTTGTCACACGTTTGTTTGTAGCATGTGACTTTCAGCACTCCAAGACCTTGGGTAATAAATATAGAATAGAATTAATGCAGCGTGTGGTATGAAGACCTGTTGAATCCTAACAGACTTAACCTATTTATTTGTGTCTAACCTGTGGTTAGCAGCTGAATTTGGATTGTTTGCAAGCTGGCATTTGGCCTTGGATTAAATGTATGCATTAGAAGAAAGATATAGTGTAGTTCCTACCCAGGCAGCTTCTGGTACGAATACGCTGGGTTGTGGATCTAATTTATATATAGAAAAATTTCTAAAATGGATGGTGCATTGCATAGTTGTGTTCCTATTCTGACAAGGAGATTAGGCAAACTGTTCTGTGAGAGGAATTTTCCATGTGGGCTCAGCGATTGGAGTGAAGAAGAGTGACATATAAACAAACTCCAGAATAAAATCACTTTTTTGAATAAGCAGAGAGACACAAATAACTGCCTAGTGTAGAAGGCAGGGAGTAGCATGCTGTGGCTGTGGCTGTGCAGTAAATTGAGCTGTATCAGCCTCCCCTTTGCACAGAACTGCACTTGAGTTTGTGTCCTTAACTGGAACAGTAAAGCTCAGATTCAAAACAAACAAAAATCAAGACCTTGGTGTATGGATCCCCAAGGATGGGTCATGGTTATTTTGTGCTGCATAATGTCTTAGCTTGTACACCTTAATATGAACAGGCGCGGTTGCGTAATGATTGCTGCTGTCAACCAATACATTTGGATCGCCTTCCTTTAACCTATTAAAAAGCTGAGCTGTACCATTCCATTAACATTGTTTGTCCCCCATCCAACCTTTTCATTAGAAAATGAAGGACAAAACTATGTGCCCTTAAAAAGGTGTTCTTGAGAATTTGAAATGTGCTCAGTTGTGATCGTTTGTACATCACTAACAACCAGAGGCGCCGAGTTTGGAGTCCATTTGAGAACGTGTTAAAAAAGTATAGGGGCTGTAGAGAACGCAGTTTGGCAGGTGGAAGGTGGAGGGAAGTTTGTACAGCCAAGTGGAGACTTCTGGGCTTGACAGACCTTGTAGTTTCAGAAATAAAAGTAGAATTCTTTCACTGCTTCTGGCCTGTGTATGAAACAGTATCTGATTCCTTTACTCTGTGGGAGTTTGGGGGAGAAGGATGGACACTTCTCAGGCTGTGTGGAATGAGTGAAACTGTATGGGAGGTGGTAAGTGGGTGGACCAGACAGGGACATGCATGGAATGATCTGCAGTTTCAGCCATTCGTTATGGTTGCATCGGGAAATCCAGAAGGTGGAAGACAGTATTGAAAAAGTGCAGTGTCTCTCCAAAAGTAGCTCTGGATTATCTAGTTGATGGCTAGGTTGATTTCCTACAGCAGCCACTGCGACCTTAGTGCCGACCCTCCTGAGCACGTGCTGGTACTCGTGAGAACTCGGGCACAGCAATGGATAATGCCTCTGTTCGTGGGTGTGTGCCCACTGGACCTTGTCATGGGGGAACAGGTCCTCTCCAGGTCCTCTGCATGGTGACAAACCTGCTTTAGCAGGATTTAATGCATCACACTTGAGGAATAATAAACCTTCACAAGCAACACAAAAGTGTTTAATTCCTAAAGGACAGGCCTAGTTAAGTCACTTTCGGCCAGGGGCAATTGGGGGCTTAATGCTTTGTATGTAGCAATCTGTGCAATCTGAGAGAGAGGAGTTTGAGGGTAATTGCTCAATTTTCTGTCCATGTCAACAGGGAAAATGAGCAGCAGTGACTGAGCTGTGTATAGCAGGGAAACTGCTTGAGATGGGAGATGTGAGACCCTCTGTGGAATTTAAAAGGTGCTGTCTGCAGCACACTGCTTCCTTTTCTGGTGCAGCTAAGATCTTCTGCCACGTGCAGACTATCCTTTGTCATGAGGTGGGAGGGAAGATGGGACAACCAAGCTGAAGTTGAAGGGCTTTATCCTCCCTTTGCTCCTTTCTCCAGCAGGGCATAGAGGGCTTCACTCTGCTCCTGTGTCTCTTTCTGGCACAGAGCTAGATATGGCTGTTTCCTGTCAGGGCAAGAAATGCTAACATTCCTCCCCCACCTCAGCAATCTGATTTGTCCTTTGGCTAGAGGTTTCTTTGTTGTTCCTTTCTTGTCCACCAGTTCTGCACTGCTGTGTTGTGTTCCCCTTGATGTCTTTCTCCTTAGTACTTTGCCCTTGGATTTTTCTCCTCAGCACTTTATGGGAACTTACTAGCTAAGGTTGTTTTCCCTCTCCCAGGTGTTCCCACATCTGATGCCCCACCATCAGAAGTCCCTTTCTGCTTTCTCTCTTACTCTTGGGATGTATAGCTCCTAGAAAAGGGCTTTTCTTGGAAGACTGGGATATGATGTGTATTTTCCGTCTGCAGGAACAACAGCTTGTTATTTTAAAGCAGATAGTGTGTGTGAATGAGACAGCTAACTGAAATGAAAGCCTAACTATGCTGCATAGACAACTGGAACCTGACCTGCAGGTGAGGAAAGCTGCCAGGAGACAGTCACTAGATCTGTGCCCTCAAGGCAAAACCCCTTCCTGCCTGCTGGGAAGCCTCCTCAAGGAAGCAGAGCCGATGATTAGACCTCTCTATGCGATGTCAAACCTCTAGAAGGACTTACCCTTCTGGCATGTGCCAGCAGCTCCTTTGCATTTGAACAGGATGAGAGTCCAGACTTTGAACAACAGAGGGGAAGTGGGCAGATGCCATGGTCCCCAATCCTTCTGGGTAGTGATATATATCAGGTGAGAGGTCTGTAATTCACAGCCATAAAATACCCAACACTGCTTGAGCTGCATGCAAATATACACCAATGATGATATTGCTCCAAAGACCTGAGAATAGAGCACAGTGAGGGTTATTGTTGGCTCTGTCATTCCTGATCAGTTTTGCCAGTTGCTTCCCTGGTGAGCTACTATTTCTACAGAGCACACCAAGTGCTAGTGGATTCCAACGGCCATGAGCTGCAAGGACAGCTGCAGTGGCTGAGCATGAAGGTAAGAGAGGGCAGAATCTGTAGGAACAGTCATGGATATGGCAAGTGGGTACTTCATAGGCTCAGAAGGCAGTGTTGGAGTGATTTGGGGAGAGCTAAAAGGATGAAAAGTTCTGAGCATCAGTGAAACGGAGACAGAGTGAACGACATGCTGTTTTGGAAGTGGTATGAATGGGCTGAACAGAAGGTTTTGGGGCAGAGAGTAATCAGTGGTTATTGGGTCTCTGTGACTGTGCACTGTGACTTCATGTGTGGCTCTTTCAGCACACCACAGCTTTCCCCTTTGCTGCTCCCCCACCCCATGCACTACTCTGAGTCTCTGTGCAAGGTCACTGAAGTGCAGACTTAGCCACCCTGATGGTTTCCACCGAGCTGTTGGTCCAGGCCAGCTTGAACCTCTCCAGTAATTGCTGGCATTGTGATCTAGAGCTCTGGTGGTGGAGGAAAGCTCTCTCTTGAGAGCCACAGTAGGTAGGGCAGAGTATGTCCTGAGAGACTGTCTTGAAGCAGCAGACCACTGGCCAAGGGTCAGTGGGCTCCTTAATTACAAGGGAGCACACCTAGCCTGTTGAGGGCTGAAAATGACAGTCTGGGGAAGCATCTTCTGTTGCTAAATTCTGCGATGTGGTGGATACACAGTCATATCGGCTCTGTGATTGCTGAGTCCATAAATGTATTTGACGGACTAGGTTTACCTAAAATACCCTTTAAGAAAAAGCTCTTGAAAGATGATTACAGAATTGAGACACCATCATTTAAAACTGCCTGCGGCAAACTCCTTTGAAAATTGCAGCAGTGGAGGGACAGAGAGAGAACCGCATAGCCCTTGATTGTAGTGTCGTTCCCCCAGGACCCGTCCCCCCTCCTCCTC